TATTTGTTACTTTTACTTTCAAGTGAAAAAATTATTGAAATTTAAATTTTATTTGTATTTTTCTCAAATTGGGTTTCAATACTATACAAGAAAGAGAAACAAAAAATGCTAAACTAGAACAAGTTAATCAAAGAAAAACTCATACCGTACGAAAAGGAAAAATGATGTTTTTTCAAGTCAACTAGTCGATGCCACGTGCGTCGCACGATTATTGTATTTAATATGTCCTTATTAGCGTGATGTAGAAATTTTAATTTTCTTGGCATAATCCTAACATACTTTTGAAATTTGAATTAAATTTTTTGACATGAATATTCTCTGATAATTAGTAAAAATTAGATTTAAAATTTTGAGAATATAAGTAAAAGATAATTTATAATTTTATGGGAGTCCCGCACACGTTCGTGCAGAGTCCGTACCAATTCCGTGCGGAGTCCCCACACAGTCTGTGTGGGGACTCCACACCAATTATGTGCGGGGACTCCGCACCAAGATTGTTACAAGAAGTTATACTTCACGGGTTCTAGGTGTTTGCATGCTCAAAGTGGTTAAGAGAACTAATATCACCAAAATTCAGCAAAAATGAGAATATTTATTTATATAAGCAAGGGATGAAAGTGGAAATAACTTCCTAAAAAATGAAATGTACAGCCATCAACATTGAGAAAAAACATGCAACATATAATCATATTGTGCTGCTGGCTCATTTTCAATTAATTACTACCAAAAAATTTAGCAACGAAAATTCTATAGGCATAGATAGAGATTCAAATGGTTTGTCCAATCACCTTACTATGCTCTCCTTAAACCTATAGCTAAAAACTTAAAAGAATCCATTTGCAACTATTAACTAAAATAACAAAACCCCTTATTCTTGGAGCAATTTAATCATTTTCACCAAACTTATATGCTTAATCTAATCATTCATCGATTTCTTGCTAATTTCTTTATTCCTACATTTTTCTACTTAAGGTGCCAAACCATATCCTAAAAAATTAATCTATATTTCCTTTTTTTTCCTCTCTATTTTCTATTGATCTTATGGCCAAAAATTCAATATAAAAGACCTATACAAACAGAAAATACACACATTATTAATATGCATAAAGTATCAATAAACCCATATCAAGAGTCCCAACAAAAAAAAAAGGTTGAAAATAAATAAAAAGGTAGATTTTTTCCCTAGTTGACTCTATAAAAAAAATTAAAATTCAAGACTTCTTTTTTGCAGCACATATCAAAAGTCTATTCATGGCATCATCGGAACAATCATCAACAAACAAAACTCATACACCCAAAACTAATGAAATGACGAAAACTCGAACATCTAACACATAAATTTAGGGATCAAGATAATATAAGCTCGTACCTTCAAAATTATTCAGTGTTAGAACCCAAAAAGTCACCGCACAGTCTGTGCGGGAACTCCGCACCAAGATTGCTACAAGAAGCCATACTTCACGATTACTATCAAGATTGCTGATGCATGAGATACACAAGAGACATAAATGAATTAACAAGCTAATAAGCATTTGTATTTACATTAAACTAAGAATATACCTCTCTATTGACACAAAAATCCAAAATTGTGAATTGAATAAATAAAATTATAATTATCAAATAAAATCGAGGATATACCTCTCTATTCACTCAAAATCAAAAATTTTGCACGTAGAATATTGAATAAACAAAATCATAATCTGAGAAAAATGGCATGCCAGGATTTACCTCTTTATTCATGAGAATTTTGCACAAAGAAATTAATCACAGAAAAACGAGAGAATAATTGAAGAAGAAGTGAGAGAAGAAAATGATGATGATGATGAAGAAAGCGTCTGTTTGGGTTTGCGTGGAGAAATGGCTTCACCGTTCTTTTGAGTAAGAAAAAATGGGTATGGCTGATATTTACAGTGAAATCACTGTTTAGCTACAATAGAAATTTCGAACACTATTGTAACTACAGTGAATTGAAGAGAGAAAATTGCACCATTGCTCCTCAACTCATTGTATCCATGGTAAATTATCATCTTCAGAAAGGAGCAAATTCATCTCAAATTTTCATTATACTTGTACAATTAGTCCTTAATTATGAAAATAGGGGAGTGCCCTTTTGATGGCTAGGATTGATGCTAAGAGGTATCCTAAGCCTGCTTCAAAACTCGGGATGAAAGGGTACCCCACACTGCTATTGTTTGTCAATGGCTCTTTCTCAGCCGTATACCGGTGGCTATTTGTCGTAAGCATTCCTTTTCTTTGTTGTTATTTTTAAGAGTTCAGTACAATATATGAGAAATAGGGAGAATTATTGGTCCAAAGAACTCAAATTCCAATTCCGAGAAAATGTAATAGTGAATAGCATAACGTGTTAGAAATTAGCAGTGCCAGCACATGTTTTAATTGCACATAATATGAGATCCTTGTCTTCAATTGGAATCTGTAAACCCGTCTCCGGGAAAAAGAAAATACATGGCGGACGATTTGTTCTTCCTTTTTGCATCATTGTATTAGCTTTGTGAATATAATTGTTGATCACGGAGAATTGAGGATGTATTCGTGCATTTAAGTTCTTGTTTTAGAAGCATGACATATTGATTTGTTAATGATGATTGGTGATAGGGACGAAATTGTGATTTGGGCAAGGAAGAAGACGGGTGTGCCTGTTATTACAATTAACTCAGTCAATGAGGCAAATGAGTTCCTGAAGAAGCATTCTATCATTTCTATGTTTGCAGTTGGGCGTTTTGACAAACTTGTGCTATGTCAGTAAATGTTAATTTTCCTATAGAGATACTATGAACTCCATTCATCAATTAAGTTTCAAACATGCACACGGCATATTTATGTGATATTAGAAACGTGATCTGCATAGAAAGTTTCTCTGGTTCACATTTAATTTGTTGGATGGTTACAACAATTATAGATGCATCAAGCACTGTTCTTAACTTAACCTGTTCTTAACTTAACCTCACCCTTGCCCTGTTTCTTCTTGTGATGAGGATTTGCTTGTGTAACAAAATGTCCATATTTCAAATGCAACGTTGCAGCAACGTAGGTTGGATAGAGGAGCATTCTTACTTCTGTCTATATGTTCCTGCTTTGAATATATTTACCACTTAGTAATAAAAAGTCACATCCTTTTAAGATTTTATTTTGGTTCATGCTGTTAAAGAGCACTTCAATCATATCTTATATCATTTGAGATTTCTTAAAAATGTAACTTTTAGCTGAAAAAGTCGTGAAAGCAAGCCGGTGCATGGAAGAGATAGATCTGTAGCTAAAAGCTTCTTCTTCATGTGTTTATCCGTCAAAATATGAATACTGAATTCATTCAGGATATTTTTAAGTTCATTGTTCAAAGTTGTAGGCCTCACATGGTTTAGACCTTGTAAGTGCTGCTAAATGAAATATTTCAATTCTATGAGAACTGTTGGGATACATATAGTTTATTGAATATGCAATTTATTGAACTAGCTTTTAATGCTGATGAGTTTTTAGTTTCCATTTAACTAATTTCTAGATAAAATTATCACCAGGGACCAGATTATGAAGAATTCGTTAAAGCTTCAAAAGCTGATAATGAGATTAAATTTGTTGAGCAATCAGTGCAGAGATAGCTGAAGTCTTATTCACAGATATAAAGTCCACTCAGCTTTTCTTTGGTCTTGTTAAAAGTGAACCAGAGCAGTACATTGCATTAGG